TTTTTAAGTTCTCACCCATTTGGACTTTACTAATTATTAGGGCTGTCGATTAATCGCAGTTAATTCACGCGATTAACTCAAAAATTGTGATTAAAAATTAATTGCTATTAATCACACTGTTATACAATAGAATACCAATTGAAATTTAGTAAATATTTTGGATATTTTTCTACATTTTCAAGTATATTGATTTCTATTACAGCACAGAATACAGTGTACAGTGCTCACTTTATATTATTTTTTATTACAAATATTTGTACTGTAAAAACAAAAAATAATTTTTCAAATCACCTCATACAAGTACTGTAGTGCAATCTCTATCATGAAAATGTAACTTACAAATGTAGATTATTTGTGTTACATAACTGCAATCAAAAATAAAACAATGTAAAACTTTAAAGCCTACAAGTACACTCAGTCCTACTTCTTGTTCAGCCAATTGCTAAGACAAACAAGTTTGTTTACATTTATGGGAGATACTGCTGCCTGCTTCTTATTTACGTCATCACCTGAAAGCAAGAACAGGCGTTCGCATGGCACTTTTGCAGCCGGTGTTGCAAGGTATTTGTGCGCCAGATATGCTAAACATTCGTATGCCCCTTCATGCTTCGGCCACCATTCCAGAGGACATGCTTCCATGCTGAGAATGCTCGTTAAAAAAATAATGCATTACTTAAATTTGTGACTGAACTCCTTGGGGAAGAAATGTAGGTCTCCTGTTCTGTTTTACCCGCATTCTGCCATATATTTCATGTTATAGCAGCCTCGGATGATGACCCAGCACATGTTTGTTTTAAGAACACTTTCACAGCAGATTTGACAAAACACAAAGACGGTACCAATGTGAGATTTCTAAAACAGCTACAGCACTCGATCCAAGGTTTAAGAATCTGAAGTGCTGTCCAAAATCTAAGAGGGACGAGGTGTGGCGCATGCTTTCAGAAGTCTTAAAAGAGCAACACTCAGATGTGGAAACTACAGAACCCGAACCACCAAAAAAGAAAATCAACCTTCTGCTGGTGGCATCTGACTCAGATGATGAAATTGAATATGCGTCGGTCCGTTCTGCTTTGGATCGTTATTGAGCAGAACCCGTCATCAGCATGGACGCATGTCCTCTGGAATGGTGGTTGAATCATAAAGGGACATATGAACCTTTAGCACATCTGGCACGTAAATGTCTTGCAACGCCAGCTACAACAGTGCCATGCGAACGCATGTTCTCACTTTCAGATGACATTATAAACAAGCAGCAGGCAGCATTGTCTCCTGCAAATTGTAACCAAACTTGTTTGTCTGAGCTACTGGCTGAAGTAGGAATGAGTGGACTTGTAGGCTCTAAAGTTATACATTGTTTTATTTTTGAATGCAGTTTTTTTGTACGTAATTCTACATTTGTAAGTTCAACTTTCATAATAAAGAGATTGCACTACAGTACTTGTATTAGGTGAATTGAAAAAATATCATTTCTTTTGTTTTTTTCAGTGCAACTATTTGTAATCAAAAATAAATATAAAGTGAGCACTGTACACTTTGTATTCTGTGTTGTAATTAAAATCAATATATTTGAAAGTGTAGAAAACATCCAAAAATATTTACATTTTCTATTGTTTAACAGCGCAATTAATTGCACTATTAAAAAGATTATTTTTTTTAATCGCTTGACAGCCCTACTAATTATACCTGTGCAACACCAAGGCATTTATCTATGTCATGCCAAGAGTCCTAGACCATTGTGATAAGAGGTAACTCAACCAATCACTACCCTTACTCTGTATTGGTTGCATGAAGGAGATGGCATATATGAAGGATTATGTGGCAAAACTGCCACACCCGTGAGAAAATAAATGACTCTGCAAATTGGAACGCAACTGGAACATAAGGAACAGCAGAATTGGGATTGTGTGTATATTCCTAGGTCAGCAACTATTCCTTCACTCTGGGAATCTATTTTTGGTATAATTTTAATCAGGACTGCTGATGTTATGAGGCACCACATTAAAGAAGGTTATGAGAAAAATGCATCTACATTAAATTTAACAATGACTTAACATAGCTAAGCAGCGTAGTAATACTTTTTTGTTGGACTACAGTCACAAGGGTTCACACAATCTACTTGCTAAATCAAGGGAAATGAATGTGATATGCTAAGTTGTGTTTAGGTTAATTTTCTCCACTATTGCAGTTTTACAGCTATTTTAAAATAACAGAGGTCACCTGACACTGACTGCTACAGGTGAGGCTGCAAAACAGTTATAATCCCATTTACACAAGCTTCCCCCTTTCCAATAAATCTCCTCTCTGCACTGAAATGTTCAATGCTTGTTCACTATAGAGGGTAGAGAGTTTTCCTGTTTTTCAGCTCTGAGTTCTACAAAGGTGAAATGTAAATTCCCCTCCTCCCCCATTCCCTAAAACAAACAAGTGACCACGCTTCCTCCATATGTGTAATAAAAAAACAGCAGATCTTTGAAACTAAAAGATTAATATATGCACAATCCCCATTGAGTGCATACACACGTTTGAAAAAAATTAGGATAAAAATCAATTTTAAAAGATCATTTCTAAAGATTGCTCAGTAGATTCTGGCTAAGACATGGGCTCTCAAAATTTCAATGTGGACTACATCCTAGAGAGACTGCCTCTCCTCACATTTTCAACAGCTTGGACCACTTTTGCTCCATTCAAGATTATACTGTATATTTGAGGCACCTAAAACAATTGTTTAGATGGAGAAATAATTTATTTGCGACTATCTTTGATCTGACAAACATATTCTCCTTTTTGAAAAGTGTCTCATGACGCTTAAGGAGAAAAAAAAAGCTCCAAGCCATCTTCTTTTGCTCTTAATTTCTTCCATTTTATTACTCTTCTACCACATGGAATCACTGCACATTTGGTTCTGTTGCCCCCTGAACATTCTGCCCTGCTTCCTTCCCCCTTGGAATACTCCCTAATCACCTGTTCTCAACCTGACTCCAGTGAACATACTGCCCAATTTCCTTCTCTCCCAATGCCCTGAACATTCTTTTCCAATTGGCTGTTCTTGGTCCCCCTCTTATTGACAGCTCCCAGTAGTGTGTTTATTCCAATCCTGCTGTTAACCCACATCCCTGAGTGCAGAGTGTGTGTGTTTCTGAGTCCTAGCAGAAGCCCCAGCAGAGGTGTGTGTGGAGGTGGGGGGGAGGAGTGTAACCCCACAACCAGGGACAAAGGAGTTAAAGAGAGGCTGTCAGAAGTCCAATCCTGAAAAGACCAGTTAGTCTTTTGACCACTTGTCTGACTTTCGCATTGGCATATTCAGTACTAAAGTTTTATGAGAGGATGGCATCAATACAAGGGAAGACTGCATAGAAGCACTGTGTTTGATGCCTGACTGGGTTACAGAGCATCCCTTTTCGGGCCTGGTGCTACGCTTTTCAACTGAGGCTCAAGAGGATTTGTGGCTCCTGAAAAAGGACCTGGTGATGGGGACCTCTCTCTCCTCCCTGTGTGGACTCTGTTCTTTCCTTCCCTATCCCTTGAGATTTTATCAGATCTTTATGGGCAACTATTTCAACTCTACAAGTAGAGGAGCCAACAAGAGCTCTTTTAGATGAGGTGTGCTCAGAAATTTCTGCTGCCACAGCTATCTCAGGGTCTCAAAAGGGATGCTTTAATCTCTCCAGCAGGATCACTTTCAGGAAAGCCTCCCCGGATCTTTGGTTTCTCTTAGAAAATAATTTACAGATGACATTTCTCTGTTATCTGCCCCTCACCCAGACACAGTAAGCATCTGGTATACCCACAATTTAGAGGCATTACTATCTCACATGAAGGGCAATTCCTAAAGCTTGGAGACTTGTGTTCAGTCATTACTATCAATCAGGTACCAGGACAGATGCTTAGACAAAATAAAATTCCTTCTTGTTGAAGAAGAAAGGAAATGCCATCAAAAAATTAAACACTAATCACCAGCTATTAAATATCTATTTACAAAACAATGGGTAAATGACACAGTGAGGGAAGAGGCTCACACACTGCAAGACATGGGGCGGTGAACTGAGGGGAAGTTGGGATCACCCCATATTTTATGTCTTCAGCTAGAGGTATGAGGAAGCTCACTCTGTGCACAGGTGTGGCCCTGAATGGATGCTGCAGGGTAAAAGAATGCAAATAGGATTGTACTGAGTGCATGCACATCAATAATGGAATATATATAGACAAGCACTTGAAGAATTGATGGACAATGGGGCTTGCTTTGTCCTTTATGCCCTTGGGTAGGGGGGAGACACAAGGACATTTAGGACACAGGTGCAGTCACAACGGACATTACCGGCCAAAATAATTTGATCTTGTCCACATGGTGGACCATGCAACCAATAGTGGAATTCACGTAAACAATTTCTCAAAGAGGAACCATAACTTTCACTTGAATTAACTATCTTTTGCTCTGAATAGTTTTTCTGCATTTAACATCAGAATATTTTTAACTTTTTTCCTGTTCTATACTCACCTCTGATGATTTTCTCCCTAACAATAAGTATGTAGCTGTGATTTCATCATATTTCATTTTACTAAGGGATTCTTGAATTTCTTCTTGAGAGTATCCCATTCCAACCATAATATCTGAAAGAAAGAAGGAGTTTGTAAGTCATAATATGCTTTAATAGATACACACTGGTTGAGTGTTTCCATGTTCAAAAACCTGTTTATTTCTAACAATGGAACAAAATATCTAAATGTGGGAACAATGTCTAATTAGATACTAATAGTAAAGTTGTTTTTCAAATACCTAAATATACATATTAAGCACAAATCAAATCTGATTATACAGTACATGAACTCAAAATACTGCAAGTTAAATGCGGACATATTGGAAAACACTGAATTACCTATTCTCTTCTGGTCTGAGATGTCCAGCTCTGGTTCAACAAAAGGTTTTAGCTCATCATCTTCATGCCCTGCATTGATCCACCGGTCCTTCATGATTTGCTACAAAGATAGGTTGCTTAGTAGTGTAAGATATTTACTTGTAAACGAAACAAGTCACTGAAAGGTCAAAGTCCCATCTATCAAAAATGTATAGCACTGAAGAACTGAAGACAAGCAAATCCAGACTTGGGTTTAGTGAGATAAGTCCTTACTTCCTCTTCTAATTCTACCCACCATTCTTTTCCAGAAAGCTCCAAATAATTCTCAACTCATATTTGAAACTAGCCAGCTTTATTGCCAGACTCCTTCCTCTCCTCCCCTGGACTTGTGTTCCTAGACAGACTACTTCCCATCAGCTGTATTCCAGCATAAAGGTCAAAGTTAAGTATTAGTAGTGGAGAGATTGGTTGCAGTGGGAGCACAGGGAGGAGATTAGTTAAGACTTCTTCCAGACAACAATCTGTAGGCAGGAAACCATCCTAATCCAGGAAACCTTCACTGGACTTTGTACACTAATGCCCTCTTTCAGCCACAAAACTTCTAGCAGACTTCCCCATTCTAAATATTACTCACTTGGGAACTAGTCAGTTCTCCAAGGAGTTAAATTAAAGCATAAAGTATTGACAAAGAACACAAAGGGAAAAAAACAGCAGATAAAAGCACTTGTTTAAAAATATTATGGTTAAGAAAATCCAAACTGAGATTTTAACCCTTCTCTAATGTTGAACTATTTAGGAAGTCACAGATATTAGACTGTACTCCAACAGCCTTTCATAGGAATGTACTAAAATGCAAGCCATGCCTAGCCATAGTGCCCTACTTTTGAAGGGAGTAATCAGTAACTCCTCATGTGATTACTCTATACATCTTCAAGATACCTTACTGTAGAATACTGCGGTACATTTTGAAAGTCCAAAACTACAGTTTACAATAGTGATACTATTGTGCTTTGGGTTATTAGCTTTTAAGGAAACAAAGACAAATATGAAGTTTTCAAAGATGTGCTCTTAAGTGACTTCCCAATGTAGGCATGAAAACTCCTGATGTGTATTCAAATTAGGGTTGCATGCACGAAACCCCGATTTCTTCACGCATTATGGATTTGCCCACTTAAGCCAGGTGCATGGCTCAGAGTACACATGTAAGTAGGCAACCATCTAAGAGTGTGTGTTGGATTGCATATGCACAGAAAAAACTTTCTTCACTGCACTGAGAAACTGACTTGAGGGAAACAGGTGCAATTTTGCCATATTTGTGCCAAAAACTCACACTAGAACTCTCAGAGCAGCAAATCCAGCAAATATCAACTGAAGTTAAATACCTGCTAATGGGGAAGGGAGAGGAATAGCAAGTATTAGTGGTACAAATGAAGCTTGTTAAATCACCTTTAATTACTATTTTGTCTGAAAGTATTTTACTCATGCTATTACCTCTAGAGTGCCTCTTTTAGTTGGGTTTAGCACCAGAAAACGTTTAAGGAGGTTTTCACAGTCTGTTGACATGTAGAAAGGGATCCTGTATTTTCCCCTTAGTACTCTCTCTCTCAGTTCCTTGGGAGAAAGGAAGCAAATTATAAAAAGTCAGAGGCACAGTTTAAAATACTGTTGTTGAATTATTACAACAGCTAGTAGAGTGCAAGTAATATACCTTTAAGTTCTGTCCATCAAAAGGAAGAGATCCACTAACAAGAGTGTAAAGAATAACACCTAAACTCCAAACATCTACTTCAGGTCCATCATATTTCTTGCCTTGGAAGAGCTCTGGCGCAGCATATGGTGGGCTGCCACAAAATGTGTCCAGTTTATTTCCAACTGTAAACTCATTGCTAAAACCAAAGTCTGCTATTTTAATGTTCATATCTGCATCTAGCAATAGATTTTCAGCCTGGGAGGAAGAAAAGAAAAATATCGTGTTGTGTAAATTTCAGATTTTTCTACAAAAGCTGTTGTTCAATTTTTTATTCATTCTTAAAGGCAAAAGCCAAAAGTGTACTAAAATTGCTTTTTTATTGAAAATAATCAAATATCTTTTTAAAATAAATATGAAAATTACTAATTTTGTAATCTCACTAGTGTATCACCTTCAGATTTATGGCACCTGTTACACTAAATGAAGCTAGTCACATGTATCATCCCTTTGGTTACTTCATGGAAAACTATTTGGTGTTTCTGTAACTTTGTGTTTCCATGTAACAAGATAAAAATGAAACTGCAGCTCTTAAAGCCTACACTTTTATCTGCTAAATGCTTACAAAAGTTTGTAGTACATAAAATCTCTACTTTTTTTTTTAGTATAAAGTGAAGATAAGATTTATGAAATGTGCCACATTTCAGTTTCAAGTAATAGCAACCTTATACAGTTATAGTATAAGGAATGGAGCAAGCTCTCTCATAATGCCACACCAACATGCGCCAAGCCTAAGAGAAGCCACCCCATCCATGACGATGGGCTTTTTGTGTAGTCTACTAATTCTGGCAACAAGAATCACCAGGCATTTACCCATCTGTTACCCAACTGTAATGTTTTTTTATCATTACCAAACTGAGCTAGATTTCAATTAGTGACCAAGAGGTCAGAGGCTCCAATTTTCATATGCCAGCCAAATCCTTACATTAAGATACATCTCATCGTCTCCTCCACCCCCATTTTTTTTTTTAAAAGAAATACCTCCATATTCAATATATTTTAATAGCATTTAAAATTTCCTGTAAGCCATGGAAAAGATTTAAAAATCTTAGGCACAAAGAATGAAACTATTGCATACAAACTTTGGTAGTTTTTTTTCTACTCACCTTGAGATCTCTATGAACAATATGCTTTTGATGGCAGTACTGCACTGCAGATACTATCTGGATAGAAAACAGGCCCAATTATATAAGTGACACCTCAAAGAAACAGATGTGTAATCAGAAATTTCAATATTAGTTGCTAAAACTGACAAGTGTTTATGCATTCAAAGCCATACAACCAACCAACCAACCAACCACAATGGTCACCATATTCAGGGTAAAGTTAATAAAAGTGTAACTAAATGTAAACTTATTATTCAACATACTGGCTTCTATTACACTTTGGAAAGGATTTCATTATCTCTGCATGGCTGATTATAGAAAGAGGGCAGGCTCACCTTCTATAAGGTCACGGAAAGGTTTTCATTTCATGTCTTTACTCATTCACAACTTTCTGAAATTTTCACTATTGGGCTGAAATTTTCCAGTCTCTGCCTGAAGATTTCTCTTTTGAGAGATACTTTGGGGGGAAATGATTCAGCTATTTGAGTGTGAGAAACAACTTGTGTGATAAGTTAGTATGGAGTCAAATTACTGAAGGTTTGTCCATCATGAGCCAGGCAAGGAGCTGAGCACACCGTACCTCATTTATTTTGCACTTTATGCAATGAGTAGCATAATAAAGGGAACGTGAAGGAACTCTGGTCTTGTTCAGTGTACTTTTAGTTGTATTTCATACAGTAATTTCTCAAATATAGAATATTTTTTCTGCAACTTTGCATGGGGGATCATAAGGTCACAGTGAATGACTTAAATAAGGCATTTGTGGACAGTGGCATTCAGAGTAGTACTCTCCAATATAAGCTGTGACGTATGTATGTAAAGCTGTAGAAAATTTTTTTACATTACACTGTCTTATTTGACACATAGTATATGATCATGTAATGAAACACTATTGTAATGCACATGAACAATTGGTCAGAATTAAGGTTGGACATGCAATCAAATTTGCATAGCAAATCTGAAAGGTCAGGAAATATCAATCTTTATATTCTTTTAATTTTTTAATGGGCAAGTTTATTAGCATATTTCATTTAAGAAGATGACCAATTTTAAAAAGGTGAAGTAATGTTATACTTTGTAATTCACTGCCAGTTTTCACATCAGAACAGGAGAATTCCTCTATAGCTGGGTAATAGGTCCAATGCTCTGTGAATGACCATGCAAACAGAGTCAAGAAAGAATTTTCTCAATGTTTAGAATAGTAACTCAAGATTATTTGCAAGCATGTTAGAGTAAAAATTCTTCACATCTAGACTAGATCTCTTTGCATTTTACACTTAAATGATAGGTGTTTCATTCTGGTGTTGAAATGAAAATATGTCGTGTCAGTATTACAGATTATATTTCTGTACATCAGACAACAGCTTGGAAGCAGATGTTCTATAAAAAGGTTAATTACACAGTCACTTGTTCATTTTTCATTTACTTCTTTATTTCCTTCTGTATCTGGCTCCCTCATTCTGCATTCCTTTTTCTATAATTATAGACTTTTTTATAATGCTTATTAATTTATCATCAGCTTTCTCCTCACACCCCATCCACCTGTCTACCTTCTTCTCTTCCTCTATTACTCTAACACCACAAGCCCCGGTCAGAGCTCTACAGTATTTCTCACCTCCCCACACCATCCTCAGAAACCCTAGGTCTCCAGGGCCATCAACATGACAAGTATCTCATGCGCCTCTCACTTGAATAGGGTGCAGAGTATGGTCTGATTGTTACGCCATTCTCATCTGGAAGCAAACATCACTTCTGATCCCAAATGGCCATAGCAATAACATGATGATCAAGAGATTTTCTTTGCTGACAATTCTGTACTAGCTGATGCACCTATAGACAAGTTTAGGGGCTGAAACAGTGAGGCAACAGCTTAGAATGGAAAGGAAAGGGGAAAAGGGCAGGCATGAGAAAGGAAAGCAGACCAACAGTTTGAAGGAAAAGGACCCAAATTCAATGAGGAACTGTACCAAAAATGTTTTTATTTATAATTTTCTCTGGGCTCGCTCCCTTTGTTTATTTAATTCGTTTCCTTCTCTCTTCTGTTCACATTATGAAGTTGGTGTCTCAGTCTGAGAAATCTACCTACATTGTGGAGCTGTCACTAGCAGTCGATTTCTTACTTGTCTGATACATGCTGCACTGCTGATTTATTTTGTGGAGGTTTTTTATAGGCCTAAACAGCTATAAATTTGTCCTCACATCTGCCCAATTCCAAATATCATTATGGATAAAAAATGGTTACCTTCTCATAACTGTTGTCCTTCGAGATGTGTTGTTCGTGTCCATTCCAATCAGGTGTGTGCACGCCACGTGTACAGTCATCGGAAAGTTTTCCCTTAGCAGCTCCCATTGGGTCAGCTGTGGAGCCTCCTGGAGTGGCGCCTTCATGGTGCTGGATATAGGACCCAGCCAATCCCGCACCTCCTCAGTTCCTTCTTGCCGGCTACTCCGACAGAGGGGAAGGCGGGTGGGTATTGGTATGGACATGAACACCACATCTCGGAACAACAGTTACGAGAAGGTGAGTAACCGTTTTTCTTCTTCGAGAGCTTGTTCATGTCAGTTCCAATCAGGTGACTCCCAAGCTCCACCCCGGAGATGGGGTCGGAGTTAAGGAATCGCTGATTGGAGCACTGCTCTGCCAAATGCTGCAACATCTCTGGCATGCTGGGTGATAGCATAGTGAGAGGTGAACGTATGCACCAAGGACCAAGTTGCTGCCCTGAAAATTTCTTGTATCAGGACCTGAGCCAGGAACGCCGTTGACGAGGCCTGTGCCCTTGTGGAATGTGCTGTAAGTGCCGGGGCTGGGATATTGGCCAATTCGTAACATGTGCAGATGCATGCCGTGATCCAAGAAGATATTCTTCAAGATGAGACTGGGAGCCCTTTCATCCAGTCTGCTACCACCACGAACAGCTGGTTCGACTGCCTGAACGGTTTCATGCGCTCGATGTAGAATGCTAGCGCCCACCGAACATCTAATGAGTGCAGCCTCTGCTCTCGACTACTGGGATGAGGCTTAGGATAGAAGACAGGTAGAAAAATGTCTTGGCTAGTATGGAAGTGTGACACTATCTTGGGAAAAAAGGCTGGGTGAGGCCTGAGTTGTACCTTATCCTTGTGGAAGACTGTGTAGGGTGGACTGGAGGTAAGGACCTTTAACTCCGACACCCTCCTAGCTGATGTAATGGCGACCAGGAAGGCTACCTTCCATGAGAGGTAGAGGAGTGAGCAAGTCATCAGAGGTTCAAAAGGGGGCCCCATGAGCCTGGCGAGGACCAGGTTAAGGTCCCACGCAGGAACAGGTTGTCTAATTTGAGGATGCAGCCATTCCAGACCCTTGAGGAAACGTCCTACCATGGGGTTGGCGAATACGGAGTGCCTGGACACTCCAGGGTGGAAGGCCGAGATAGCACCAAGATGTACCTTGATGGATGACACTGCCTGGCTTGGTGTTTCGGTGCAAAAGGTACTCTAGAATAAGTGGCATAGGCGCCTGGAGTGGAGGTGTGTGCTGCTGGGCACACCAGTAAGTGAACCTTTTCCACTTAGCTAGATAAGTGCACCTGGTGGATGGTTTCCTGGTGCCAAATAGGACCTTTCTTACTGGTTCCGAGCACAGAAGTTCCGTGGGGTTTAACCATGAAGCTTCCAGGCTGTGAGATGGAGGGACTGGAGGTCTGGGTGGTGAAGGTGACAGAGGTCCTGAGTGACCAGATCTGGGTGGAGTGGTAATGCAATCAGGGCGTCCACTGACAGCTCCAGGAACATGGTGTACCAGTACTGTCGAGGCCACGCTGGATCTCGACCATGATGACCACGGTGGAGCCGAAGGGTCCTGTGCCGGGCTGATGATGCGGAGGATTGGTGTCGAGGCACCCGCGCTGGGAATCTGTTGCTGGTTCTCTCTCGGAGCCGGGGATTGGTGCCACTCCGTCCTCTGTGCCGAGGAAGGAGAGTGATGTCCCATTGGTGCCGGGGAACCCTGCACAGAATCCGGTGTCGGAGAGCAGTGCCTTGGCGACGGCGATCTGGAGCTGTGCCGAGGCAAACGGTGCCGGGCAGGAGAAGTTGAGCACCGCATCATGGTCAGCTTGCCTCTAGACGGCGCTGGAGGCTTATCTCTGACCACCGGGGGCTGAGGAGCCATCATGGCAATTACATCTCTGGCAGCTGCAAAAGTGTCCGGGGTGGAAGGTAGCTCCAACTCCTCCACCTGGCACTGCCCATCTGAGGAGTTGCTGGGTGCTGGACTCAACAGTCACCTCGGGGGAACTGAAGTCGACGGCGCTGACACTTGCTGCTTGGGTGCTCCTTCAAGGGACGCACCAGTGCAGCACCTGCCGGTCCAGCTGCTTTTGGCACTGCAGAGCGACCCCTGTCGCTTTTCTATGCCAGTTGTACAGCACCGGTGAATGCAAGCGGTGCTGGGTTGTCTCCTCAGTGTGCGGTGCTGGAGAGTGCCAGTGACAAGGGTATTTTAGACTAGCGTCCTTCCTCGGCACCATGTCATGTACTGATGCCGGGGCACTCCGTATAGACGCGCTCGGTGCCGGGTCCCGGTGGTCCGCAGCAGACTGCGGACGAAGAGCGGATTCCATGAGCAACTGCCTAAGTCGGAAATCTCACTCCTTATTTGTCCTTGGGCAGAAAGTCCTGCAAATCTTGCACCTTTCCGTCTTGTGTGCCTCCCCAGACACGAGTCGTGGGGGTCGCTTTCTGGCATAGGTTTATTGCAGGTTCCGCAGGGTTTAAAGCTTTGGGCTCGTGGCACACCCCGGAGCCCAAGGGTGGGGCGGTTGGGATTGGGAAACCCTGCTCCCAAACCTTACTATATATACACTGTATACATTATCTACTAACAATAACTACAACTAAACTAAACTACCTACGCTATGGAAAGAACGCTAAGGGAAGCATTGCTAGGCAAGAGATCGCAGTTCCAACTATCGTGACTGGTGGTAAGAAGGAACTGAGGAGACGCGGGGTTGGCAGGGTCCTATATCCAGTGCCACTCCAGGGGGCTCCACAGCTGACCGACGGGAGCTGCTAAGGGAAAACTTTCCGATGACTTTGTACGTGATGCGCACAAAACTAATTGAAATTGACAGGAACAAGCACTCAAAGAAGAATATTAACAAACGGCCCTGCTTCTAGAGTTTCTCAGAGAAGAGGCAGAAAGATTAATGAAAGCTACTTACTAACAAACTAATTCAGGGGAGGAGTAGTACGGGGGCATCAGTTACCTAATTTGCTTATTTCCCAAAAGGCACAAACTTGGGTTCCTCGTTTTTACATTAATTTTTATTCATACATCATCTCACACATTGATCATCCTTACTCAGCAGAAAAATTCTCCAGAGCAGACCATCAACCCAGAGGCCTGAGGATAGGGCAAGGGGAAGTAAATGATATGAAGAATCCAAAACTTCTTTAAAGTGCAAATATTTGCTCTGAGGCACAAAAGCAGCTTAAAATGGAGAGCAGCAGAGCATGGTTATATTTTTGGCATTTGCACCCTTTCATACTTCACCTGTTAAACATGCCTGCTATGCATAATACATAAGCTATTTACTGCAGCATAATCAGCCATGGCCACATTATTTCAAAGTAGAGGAAAAACTTGGATGACAGCAAGGAAGTTTACAACACATAAAATCCAAAATTGAGATCAAACTCCAGAAATCTTTATGCTCCTGGGGCCACAGAATATGCATACCACAGAAATAATATACTTTCTTGTGAAGGATTTTAGATCCATGCTGAAACTGCCCTTCCTGGACAATTTTTTAAGTTGGGCAGGTGTGCAATGATTTACTTCCAACATAACTTGATACAGAAATGGCCACTACAGAAGTGAAGAGAGGAGAAATTAAAAGCAAACAAGAGATGACCACATACAGTCTCTGCCAGGCTCAACATTATGGCAGATGCAAATTACTATTGCTCCTCCAGCTTTTCTTAGAGGTAACTATTGTCTCATTGTTAAACTAGTTAGTGGATGGACTTAAAGTGAAACCCTATTATGCTATGAGAAAAATCGATCTGAAGCTATTATAGAAATGCAGAAAAATAAAAATAAGACTTATAAAATGCATTTATGTGGACTTCAATGGGGTCAAGCAGGCTGTGTCAGCATTATCTTTGCTAACTGTGTTCGTTCACTGACATATAGTAGCAGTGTGAAGAAACCCTGAAGCTTATACTTGTAAGATAGCCTTCACACCTTCTGGTTCAAAACTCCCTTTCAGAGAAGTCAGTGGACTTGAATAAAATAACCAGGATTGAAGGATAAACTGTACACAACATTGTAAATGAAGTAACAAAACATGTAAGTACTTTGACAGATCATTAAAAAAAAAAAATCTCCTGATTAAGAACAATAATGATTGCCATAGGGAAGAGTGAACATACTAGTGGAACCAGATTTGACCACTGAAAATTAGTATTAGGCATGGCAACGGGGAGAAAATTCCCTGATCCTTTTGAATCTTAGAAAAACTTGATTTAAATTACTGGGTTTGAATCTGAAGGATAACCTTTCGGATTTAGAAAAATGGTACAGCCCAACATCTGAGACAGGAATGACAACTTCAGAAGCTAATATCATTGGGACTGTGAGGGACAGAGGGCAAAAGCAACACACACACAAAAACTCTGAATTTGAAGGGGACATTTTTCTGTCTTCCTGAATCTAAGCATAGGAACCTTGAATACAGTCTGTTAAACAAAAACAACACACCCCAGGATTTTGTGAATGAGGGGCAGAAATGGTTCTTACTGCCTGTCAATCTGCACACTACTCAAAGAATATCTTCTGGGATGTGAAGTCTGCCAGCTGGATCTTGCAAAAGATTAAGGAGGATACTGCAAGACTTAGGGAAGATTCAAATGATAAGAGAAATAATGCTTTCGTTTATTGATTTTATTTTTGCCTCCTTATAATGGGTTAAGCTGTCCTAAATAACACTGTCCTTTTTTCTTATTAGTGTTTATTGCGACTGTCACATTTACTTTAGTGAGGTTATTGTTCATATCAGTAAAACTTCTCTGCACAGTACATTTCCACAGAAATGTATTACACACATTAAAATATTAGATACAGGGAACAAGCGAGTGATTCCTACATTTCCACTGTTTCTCAAATAACTAATGGTGCACACACTATTCTATTCAAGACAGAACAGACAAGCATAAAGGTGTCCATTTATGTTACGAGATTTATTTCATGCAAAATTTCCTTAACATAATTGAAACATTAGGCTGTTTGTAAAATTAAATGATCTCCTTCAACTGCTGTGCTTGTTGCCTCTGGGCTATCAGATTTTTAAAATGAAGTTAACTCCTGATCTTTCTTCTTAGATCATTGTCCACAGATTGTGTGCCATGGAATAGATCATCAATAAAAGCTGGTAAGGAAAATAAGGCCGGGGAATGACAGCACATTTGCAAATAAGTTTTCAGTTTATTATCCATATTCATTATTGTTTATGTCATTATTTATGTCGACACACTGTTACATGAACTGGATTAAACATCACATGTTGTACTGCTGACATCCCTGTCCTTAATTGTCGCATATTTTAGCACTCTAGATTCACTTTTTACAGGAATCTACTAGTTTTCCCCTGTTATTTAATGCAACAAAAAGTCAGCAACAGAGCGTGCTTGAAAGCACCGTGGGAAAGCTCACTGTCAACTATTTTTTCATGTGTTTTAATGCTAAAGTTGAGGACTTAAGAGTTGTTAGTCTATCATACATACCTGTCTAAATTTAGCTCTTGCTTCCTTTTCCTTCATTCTTCCATGTGCAACCAGATAGTCAAATACCTCACCTGCAATTGAAACATATCAAAGATTAAAGGAGAACTGTTGAATATCTTAAAATACTAGCTAGTTAATTTCAAAATCTAGGGTTAGTTTTGTAATTGTAAGAGTAACATATATTGTATGAGCTACATAAATGTCAGAAATTTGAGCTAAATTTGAGATTTCAGTTTTCAGTTAGAATGTTTGTTTATTCATGTGAAAAATCAATCATAAAAGGCACTAATTTTTCATTTTTGCAAAAGGCTCATGGCAAGAGCCCAGAAGAGTGATTTACTTCTATGTCATAATTTCACTGAGACAAGGAAGACTTTAAGAAGAATTATCTGGATGACTAAATGTAGGCAAAATATTTGTTTTCAATCATTTATGATAGAAAATGAGCAGCATGCCTTTCTTTGCAAAAAAAAGTCCTGAATTCCTTTCAAATTTTCATTAGAAAAATATCTGCTGTATCACAGAGATAGACTGTCGTAAGCCTCATCTACAGTACAAAAATGTTTAAAGGATCTTGTAAATATGGTTGTAGCCTCAGAGTGTTATAATATAGTTAATCTAAGTGTACAAAAATTATATTACGATGATGGAAATCCCTGTTTCAACCTGGGGTTAAAATAAAATGGGGCCTTCATTATAAAAACCATCCAAGTGAACACAGACTGATGCGATGAAGCAAGCCACAATTTAAATATCATACATAAGACATTGAAGAAAAGCATCCTGGCATAACAGGTCCCTGGAAGACTTCCAAAATGAAAAGGAAACAATGCAATATGACAAAGGACATAGTACTGAAGAAAAATTGAAAAAGGCTGCATTTTTAAACAAACAGTCAATTAATGTCTGGCATTTTATAACTAGCCAACTAGACTAGTTTTTAAATGTTGCTATCTATCCAGTGAAATATTGACTTGTTTGTCACAGTGTGACAAATGTTTTTCTACTGAAAAACTGTAGGCGTTAGATATGGAAGAGGTAATGCTTCCACATACATAAATAGGTCTTTACGTACAAATAAATCATTTAGTTTAAATAATCTAAGATTTTAGAAGTTCAAAAATCAAATCACTATTTTAATATTTAAATACACATTTAAATACTCTCAGATAAGTAAGAACATTTTTCACATTATGACTTCAAAAAAGGAAAAATATATAATTAAAAGTACTTTTAATTTTGAAAAAGTCACAAGATGGAATCAAATCAAACTGATTTAAGTATAGCATGCACAGACTACAATAAAGAACCCAAGATATGAGAAAAGGAGCGTGCATAAATAATTTTATACGTTTTCGTTTTCTGAACAAATTATATTTTGCTTTCCAGAGTAGCAGTTAAAATACAACAGTCAGTGATGACAATTCCCTGAAATATATCTTACAGCTATTTCTTTTTAAAGTATTAGTAAATAAAAATTCATAAAAATGCAGGGGGCCAGACAGATAAAATTCAACCCTGTTTATCCGAAATGTTTCGGGAATATCAAAAGCAGAGAAAAACAGTAGTTCAAATAACTGAGGGAGTTACTGAATATTGAATTTAAGTTGAGACCGATGACTAAAATGTAGATAAAGGGGAATTTTCAGAACTGAATCCATATTGGCACATAGTCATTTGCTATTACATTTTCATGTAGCATATTGCATAAGCATATAATAGTACTAATGGCTTCTGGGCCAAACACACAGGTCTCTCTCATTTCAGCTAAAAGGAGCGTCTCAGGCCTGGTCTACACTACAGAATTAGGTTGATGTAAGGCAGCTTATGTTGACCTAATTATGTCAGTGTGTCTATGCTACAGCCTTGTTCCTGGGGATGCAAGTACCCAACATAATAATTCCACCTCCACAAGAGGCATAGGACTTACATCAGTGTAGTTAGGGCAACACAGTGTCCGTGTAGACATTGCAGGTTACTTACATCGGCTGTTAGCTGTCATTCTTGTCAATTTCACAACTCCCTGTTGGAACCGTGAAATTGACAAGAAAGCCGGACTTACAGCTTGGGCTGTCATGTCAGGGCAGATAGAGGGCTCCAGCTAGAGCACAGTTGTCCCCAGGTTCCCGGCTCTCTGCTCTCAGTAGGACTGCTGCCCGGGCTCCCGGCTCCCCACTGGGAGCCCAGTAGCCGGGTAGCCAAGAGCCTGAGGGTGCAGCTGGGCTCCTGGCGGGGAGAATGTAGCCAAGAGCCGAGGGGGAGGAGGGGGGGCAGAGAAGAGAGAGAGACAGAGGAGAAAGCTGTGTACGGAGCTGAGAGCCCGGCCTCTCAGCCCTCCACACTGCCAATCTAAGTCAGTGGAAATACTCCTGTTGAGGATGCGCACCACTGACAGAAGGAGGTTAGTCCGGACACAAACCATAGCAGTAATTACTACTGTGGGTATAAGGGTACGTCTACACTTACCGGAGGGTCCGGCGGCAGGCAATCCATGTTCTGGGATCGATCCCGGAAGTGCTCGCCGTCGACGCCGGTACTCCAGCTCAGCGAGAGGAGTACGCGGCATCGACGGGGGAGCCTTCCTGCCGCGTCTGGACCCGCAGTAAGTTCGGACTAAGGTACTTCGAATTCAGCTACGTTATTAACGTAGCTGAATTTGCGTACCTTAGTCCGAAGTGGGGGGTAGTGTGGACCAGGCCTAAGTTGACCTAACATAGATCGACTTAAAATTGTAGTGTAGACATGCCCTCAGTTATCTGTAGTAGTTTTAGGCCTTCTATCCTCTGTAAGCCAGTCACTAGATGGCAGTATGACCTCACTTTTAAGTCAAAAACTATCAAGTAGAAGGGAGAGGTGCACATACACTAGTATGCTCAATGTGCAGAGGTCAAAAAAGCTAACAATGTTAGGAACCATTACGAAAGGGAGAGATACTGCATACAGTTTGTCCCATCTCAAAAAAATATATATTTTGGTATTGGAAAAAGTACAAAATAGGGCAACAAAAATGATCAGTGGTATGGAACAGCTTCCATATGAGGAAAGATTAAAAAGATGAACTGTTCAGCTTAGACTGAGGGGAGATATGATAGAGGTCCATAAAATCATGAATGGGGTGGAGAAAGTAAATAAGGAACGGGTTATTTACCCCCTTCACGTAACACATGAATCAGGGGTCATCCAATTAAATTAATAGACGGCAGGTTTAAAACAAACATAAGCAAGTACTTCTTCACACAACACGTAGTCAACCTGTGGAACTCAGGGCCAGGGATGTTGCAAAACCCAAAAATATAACTGGGTTCAAAAAAGAATTAGATAAGTTCATGGAGAATAGGTCCATCAATGGCTATTAACCAAGATGATCAGGGATGCAACTCCATGCTCTGGGAATCCCTAAACTTCAGACTGCTAGAAGCTGGGACTTGAGAACAAGGAATAGGTCACTTGATAAATTGCCCTGTTCGGTTCACTCCCTATGAAGCATCTGGCACTGTCTACTGTCAGAAGACAGGATACTGGGTTAGATGGACCATTGATCTGACCCAGTATGGCCGTTCTTATGTTATTATGCCCTTCCCTACCATTAGCCCCATTTAGACAAAACTAGTCTATGCATCTACGGCTCTTAGGAGCTCAAATACAACGGCTAGAACACAGTTTATATAAGCAACCACATCATGATATCCCAGATATGCTGCACATATGCAGTGGGACCCAATGGTGAAACTCTGCTCTTCTGTTTTGAAGGACAAACCTCTATGTCTCCCCAGCAAAATTGAAGATATGCCTCAAATATTTGTGTGACTCCCACCAGCTGATTTTGAAATTTAACCATTTTTAGCTATCCAGAAGGGTAAATGCCTTGATTCTGGCTATAGTTACGAATAGCGGAAAACACTGAGAAAATCTTCACATTTGCTCAAGAATTGGGAATTAATTATTCAAAAGGGGGAAGCAGTGGAGGAACTTAAAGAGAGGGGTTACAGAGACAAGGTGGGGGAAGATAATATCTTACTGGACCAACTTCTGTTGGTGAGAGACAAGTTTTTGAGCTTACACAGAGCTCTTCTTCAGGTTTGGGAAATGTACTCAGTGCTAAGTACAAGGTGGAACAGATTGTTTAGCACAAGTAGTTAAATTTTTCAAGGGACCATTCCAGGTGAAGCGGCCCATGTGACAGTCAAAATGAAGAGTCCAGAAGATTTTGGTAACTGTGGATCTTACTTTAATTAAAGAGAGCCACTTTAATCAGAATAGTCCATATGTCACCAACATTCAAAAACAAGAAGTGCAATGTTGAAGTACTGGTGATTTAAAATGCAAGGGCAAATAGATTTGCTACACTTTTCCACCTGAATGTTATATGCTATTACTTCATACAATACATTTGAATATATACTTAACTTTACCAAATACCACATCAGTGAAACCAACTATTGTGCCAATTCCTGCCTATTGTGAATATCCTTATTTTGCTATTACCACCATGATGGACTGATTAATGAAAATAATGAAAAAAAAATTCCCTCTGGATTTCAATAAAGCTTGGCTTACTTAAAAAATTGTACAGCTTTAAGAAAATGCCTCCCAAAATATTAACATTTCACCTGAAATGTTGCACTATCATGAAATCAATGTTTCTTGTTTTAAGGAGTATTACAAAAGAAAGCTTCAGTATCATTTGGCAATTTCTTTACATTTATATCACATAAAAGGAAAATACTTACCCCCACTTGCATACTCCATGATTAAGTAGAGAGTTTTTTCAGTTTCAATTACTTCAAATAACTTCACTAGAGGAAAAAAAAGCAGTTATTTACTAAAAGATTACAACCAATTATAGGAGTCTAGTTTTCGGATAGTCTTTGCGGAAGATTCTCTCAAAGTAGATTACTGCTGCTTGACAATATCAAAACAACTTTTCTTAAAAGCAATTATTTCCATTTCATGCTTCTAAATGGAATAACTGAAATGCTTTATCAGTAGTTGTAGTCTGGGTCAAACTATTATGAATGTACAATTCTGGCTTGAAACATACTCAGTTTAGGGTCAAGTGAAAAAAATCAATTAATTTAAGCATAGCTCCCAAAAAACAAAAGCACTGGGTAACAGTAATTTGTATATAAACCCAGGGCTGGTGCAACCATTTAGGCGACCTAGGCAGTCGCCTAAGGCGCTAGGATTTTGGGGGGCACCATTTTCTTCAGCAGTGACCGCGGCGGCCGGATCTTCGGCCGCCCAGGTCGCCGCCGGCATTTAGGCGGAGGGAGCTGGGGCAGTAGAGCGTGGGGAGGGCCGCCTGCAGCAATGGGG